GTGAGAATGTCATGATCCACTGTATCAAAAGCAGCAGTGAGATCCATACATACACATAGCCACTATCTTGTAAAACATAACAGAAGACGGAGTAATAAAAAAAATAAAAATGAGATATATTAAAAAAAAAAATATTATGATAGTACAATTTGAGATAAATATATGAATAATTTCAAATAAATAAATACAATAAAAGAAATACATTAGCTAGTTAAATCAACAATAATGTGCTACCTACATCTTGGTTATTATGGTTTTAGTTGTGCTGAAGTTGAACCAATGTGTCTAGTTTAGGGCATGACAGTTCCGGAGAAAAAAATGCTAGTCTAAAATAATAATAATAATAATAATAATAATAATAATAATAATAATAATAATAATAATAATAATAATTCCGACCACAAAATGATTTCTTAAATAATCACTTCCAGAGGTGTTAAATCATCAAAATAATTTAGTAGTGGCCTCCAATGAGTATAAAACTTGCGAGACGAGCCTTTAAGAGAGAACTTAATCTTCTCCAATTTCAAAAGACTTAAGATGTCATGTAACCAAGCTTTGATTGAGGGTGGTTGATGCGATTTCTACATTAAAAGAATTCGTTTGCGAGCGACAAGGGAAGAAAAGGCGATGACATTATTTTGAATGTTGTGACATGAAAACCATCTGGGGGTTTTTCCAAAAATAGCGATGTGAGGGTTTGGGTTTAGATTCATGTCCAAGATATCTGAGATTGCCTTGAAAAATAACACCCAGAATTCAGACAATTTGGGGCACGAGCAGAACATGTGAGATTGCATGGGGTCTGTGAACACCTTCTACATTTATTATCTAATTTGTCGGGATAGTTTTGAGAGTTTCTCTTTGCTATAGTGTAGTCTGTGGAGGACAGAAATCAATATTATTGAGGAGAAAACCGAAAGCATCTGTCAAACAACTGTAACAGAACATTATATTTTACTTTCATATTTCTGAAAGAACGGGTGACACCGTGGCTCAGTGGTTAACACTTTGTCTTGCGCAGCAAGAAGGTCACTGGTTCGAGTCCTGGCTTGCTCAGCAGCCATTTCTGTGTAGTTCATTCATTTTCCTTCGACTTATTCCTTTATTCATCTCAGGCTGCCACAGTGGAATGAACCACCAACTTATCCAGCATGTTTATATGCAGGGGATGCCCTTTGAGGTGCAACCCTGTACAGGGAAACACCCATACACAATAACTCATACACTGTGGGCAATTTATTTCATCCAACTCCCCTATAGCGCATGTGTTTGGACTGTGGGGGAAACCGGAGCACCCGGAGGAAACCCACGCTAACACGGGGAGAACATGCAAACTCCACACAGAAACGCCAACTGTCCCATCTGGGACTCGAACCAGTGACCTTCTTGCTGTGAGGATATACTTATAATGCCCTTTGCGTATAGCCATCAAACATGCGTCATTCGGGTTTCACAGAACATTGATTATGCTGTCAGGATTTCTGTAATCGAGCACTGTTATTGTGTCTGATTCCCGCACAGCAGCCCATAACTCGTTTCTGCTAATCTGCTGTGGGATTCATCTGTCTGTAACCTCTGACTGATGGCTTCACAGGACTCCTCCGTCTGCTGAATCATCAATCCACAATGCAGAAGTTTCCCTCCTCATCCACTGTGGTGTGTTTCCCGCTCTCTCTCTGCTTCAGTGTTAATGTAAAAGAAGCTGAGCCGACTGTCAGTCTGGAGACCTGTTTTTGACGGGTGGTCTTAAAATAGCAGGAGAAGAGGGAGGAGGGGGCGGTGACAGGCTGACTCAGTGGTTAGCACTGTGGCCTCTGATTTGAGGAAGGTCACTGATTCGAGTCCCAGCTGGGGCAGTTGGCATTTCTGTTTGAGTTTGCATGTTCTCCTCGTGTTGGCGTGGGTTTCCTCCGGGTGCTCCGGTTTCCCCCCACAGACTAAAGACATAAGGTATAGGAAATTGGGTAAACTAAAGTGGCTGTAGCGTATGAGTGTGTGGTGTGGGTGTGGGTGTTTCCCAGTACTGGGTTGCAGGTGGAAGGGCATCTAATGTGGAAAAACGTAACATTTTTCAATAGTATCTGGATGCAGCCTTTATGGTGCAAGCTGAGACTGCATCACTCAGCGATGCAATGTCAGACACAATGACATCACTGACGTCACTGTGACGGGTGGGGTTAGGGGTGGGGTTAGGTGAGCCCATTAAAAAGCATTGGATGCAGCCCAGATTGCACTGCACCAGGTCTGCAGCCAGACCCCTCTCAAATTTTTTACCAGCTAAATGACCAGCTAAATCCAGCTAAAACCAGCTTGACCAGCCTGGTTTAAGCTGGACATAGCTGGTTTTGGCTGGTCATCTCCCAGCCTAACCAGCTAAGACCAGGCTGGAAATGGCTGGAAACCAGCCTGGAAGTGGCCTAAAACCCCTCTAAAACCAGCCTGGTCGACCAGCTAAAACCAGCCAACCAGCCTAGGCTGGTTTAAGCTGGATTTTTTAGCAGGGATGTGTTGGATTCAGTGGGAATATCCATAAATATAATCACAGTGCATGCTAGAGTGCCCATACAGCATGCTTTTTTATTATTATTCTAAATAAAGGACTTTTATGTGCACAAATCCACTCAAAAGCTTTCCAATAAAACATGATTGAATGTCTTAATGCGCTGTGCTGACATGTGGTGTCCAACTCGCTGGTTTCGTCCACTAAACAGACAGAAGCGCCACAATCAGCGCTTTTACGCACCATCGCGCATAACCGTGAGTAGATGTGTGTGCGCGCATAAGGGTTCCTGCTGCTGTTTGACTGGTGCACGATTCTTTTTTTTTTTTTTTTTTTATTAACAATGTTGAACTGTAACAGAAAGGCATTAATACATTTTAGAATTACACAAAAGACTGAGATAACAATCAAATTGCATACATTTACAATCTTAGTATCCTCGTTTACTGGTGCACGATTCACAACTCCCAGATTCGATAAATTTGCGTCAGTTATTGTTCTAACAAATCACATTGCGCAGAGAATTAAATAGGCATTCCCTGCCATGTCTGCCTATTATGATATTGTCTTGCACTCAAAACACATCATTTATCTGCAGTGTTGGGCAAGCTACTTGAAAAATGTCATAGATATATACACTAGATGTCGCCTGGCCTATTGTTGTCTATTGGACGGAATGCGTCAATAGCGCCGCCATCTTGGTACAGGGTAGCGCTCCTTTAAAATGAATGCGGGACCAAGGAACAGCGGAGGACTGTGGCCATCCAAAGCCAGAGATATACACATATATCTATTATCGGGAGTTTTCCTGGATGTTAGTGTGCAATATTTTTTTTAAATTACGAAAATCTTAATTTTACATCACTTTTCTACATTGATGGATCAGTGACCGCACCCGCATTCCTGACAAAAAGCTTGTGTTTGTGTGTACAGAAATGTACTATTCACCCTCCCTGTTAAATTTGATCTAATCATGTCCTGAAACACAGCTCCTCTCCTGCTTTCACTGCTCATACTGACGGAGGGAGCGATTCGTTTGGGAATGAATCTCCATTATGAACAACTCGTTCACTAGCCGACAATAATACAAGTTTCTGGCAGCGCAGCATCTCGTTGTCATATTTCTTTTGCATTGTTTGCTGATTTTATTCAACAAAACTAGCATTAGCTAGTATTTAGTACTTGCTAATTTTGTACTTAGTATTTAGTATTTAGCTAGTATTTAGTGTTTAGTGCGAGTTGGAGCTGCTTTGCCGTATGGGGAATGCAGTAAGTGACTGTTATCATCAATAATGTTATTAGCACAAAAGTTAAGAACATACAAAAACGTAAAAAACTAAATCTTACCTATGAAATGTTCTGCCTTTGTGCTTTGTTTTCTTTGTTTGCTGGTTACTACACCCGTAGACAGGGTTAAAGTCCCGCATCTTCACGTAATAACACTGTCTTGACTAGTGCGGTTGAATGACATTTGTCCTGGGAGCACTGTACCAATGTGGCGGCGCTATTGACGCATGCTCAGGGTCCCTATGCGATATCTAGTGTATATGTCTATGGAAAAATGTAGTGAGCTAAGCTATTAGCTACTCTACTTAAAATGCAGCTTGACTACACTAAAAGCTACCCCCTGGGAAATGTAGCAAGCTAAGCTAAAAGCTACATGGCAAAAGTAGCTTCGCTACATCTAAGCTATTTTTATAATTTTCTTTTCTAAATTGAAGCAACTTCAATCCAAGTCAAACATATATGATCAATAAAACTGTTAATGAAACATTTGAGGCAGAATAGTTCAGTTCTGTTATTTACTGTAAATAATGCTGTACCAAACAGAAACACACTATAGTAGCCTATATAACAGCTCAAACAAAAAATCCAATAAAACCAGCTGTTACACATTTAAAATACTATAGTCATTTATAGCAAAGGGAAATATTTTGGAATGAGCATTATATTGTCTGTGCGTGTATATTATATTCATTCATTCATTTTCTTGTCAGGTTAGTCCCTTTATTAATCTGGGGTCACCACAGCGGAATGAACCGCCGACTTATCCAGCGAGTTTTTACGCAGGTGAATTGGGTTGGCTAAATTGTCTGTAGTGTATGAGTGAGTGTGTGAATGTGTGTGTGGATGTTTCCCAGAGATGGGTTGCAGCTGGAAGGGCATCCGCTGCGTTAAAAACTTGCTGGATAAGTTGGCGGTTCATTCCGCTGTGGCGGAATAAAGGGACTAAGCAGGCAAGAAAATGAATGAATGAATGAATGAACCAGAAGTTGCAACCGTTTTTTTTTCTGTATTGTGACACAGTTCTAAACAGAATATTAAATGAGAAAACAGTGGGCGTGGCTTGTTTTTTCTACCGAGAGCTGATTGGATGTGGTAAAGTAGGCATTTCATTCAGAAAGATGGGGAAAGGGTTTTTACAACCTAATAGACTCCTCCTGCTCACCATTTAAGTTTGTTGTCAAAACTGACAGCTGGAGGGCGTGTTTAGGTATATTAGCCACGCCCAATGCAGACAAATAGAACTGAAAACAAACATGAAGTAGATTTTCAGATTTTAATTTTAGATTACAAGGGCAAACTTAAGCACAGATGAACTGTTCACCACAATACTTACAATGTGAGCTAACGAAATCAGTATGGTAAGTTTTGTGGGCGTGGCTTGTCCACTGTAAACTGAGGGAAATCGGGCGGTGCGCGATCAGAAGCATGGAAAACAGAGAGAGAGCAGCGGCAGCAGCAGGAGAGCAAAGTTAAACCAGCGGCGTTTACGCATCATGGAGAGCATCATCTTCGCGCACTGATCCCTTTTGGAGAAATCACTTCAGCTTATATTCATCTTCTGGATTTAATGTGTTCGGTTTGGGATCTGTGAAGGCATGGTGTAGTGAAGCGGTCAGGAAGGATGCCCGAGCAGAGATGTGCTCCAGCCGGAAGATCATCTGGAGTCTGCTGGTGCTGTCGGTGCTGGAGATCGGGCTCGGGGTGTCCAGCATCGCGCTGGGCGCGGTGGGCATCAGCCGAGCAAAAGCGCAGCACAAGACCCAGCAGGGCGACGCTTCTCCGGTATGGAGCGGAGTGTGTGTACGTCTCACTTTTATTTAGTTTCTTCAGCACAAATAAATAATCCAAACAGCCGCTTTATCGAAACTCTCAGCGCACTGAATGTTTTGGGCAATAAAACTGTTTAATTGAAGTATTGTCTAAAAGTGTTTGGGTAAAATATGAACAAAACCAACTGCTGCTGGGTTTGTTTTTTTACATTTAAATTCACAGGAACAAGATTTACCCAACTTTGGTTTGAAATAACAGCATTTTGTGTGTGCATTATTATTGGTATTATTAAACATGAATTGGGATTTTTGTGTGTGAATAGAGTACTTAAATGCGCCATTAAACTACCATTGTACAGTGTTTTAACATTAATTTTGAAATTGATGCTAGTATACACTGCAAAAAATGCTTTTCTTATTTAGATTTTTTGTTGTTTTAAGTCCAAATATCTAAAAATTCTTAAATCAAGAAGCATTTTCTAGACAAGCAAAACATATTGTCTTGTTTTCAGAAATAATATGGCAAAATAAAGTGAGTTTTTTCTTAAAACAAGCAAAATAATCTTATGTCGAAAGCAAAAACAAGATTATTTTGCTTGTTTTAATGAAAATTCTCTTAATTTTGACACATTAGTTCTTCAAACAAGACAATATGTTTTGCTTGTCTAGAAAATGCTTCTTGATTTAAGAATTTTTAAATATTTGGACTCAAAACTACGATAAATCTAAGTAAGAAACGAATTTTTTGCAGTGTATTACACAAATCATAACAGAGAAGCAGCAACTAAAAGATATTGAAAAAAGTAGAAAGAAAACATAATTTTTTAAAGAAAAATTAATTTATTTTTAAAATAATAAAATACATATCGTGAGTAATGTGATCATATAGTTCAGTAATTTAGTAAAGTAAATCTAATCTAGTTGAATGAGACAGTTAATGATGTGTGTTTACATAAAATACACAATTAATTAATTAATTAATTAATTAATTAATTAATTAATTAATTAATTAATTAATTAATTAATTAATCAGATATGCCCCCCCCTCAATGAATATGCATTGTTTATTTTTTTGTGCAAACTTTAAAAATTGTGTTTTCTGTGGTATTTATGAAGCTGTAATTTGTTTTTCAGGATGTATGTGTAATCTTCATCATCAGTTCATACATTAAAAAATGCTGGGTTGCATTGACACAACACTGGGTCGAATGAGTAAAAATAATTGGATTAAAAAACATAATTTAGATGAATTCACTGTAGAATGAACCGGCAACTATTTCAGCATATGTTTCACACATCGGATGCCCTTTTAACTGCAACCCAATACTGGGAAGCACCCACACACTCTCACATTCACTCTCACACACTACGGACAATTTAGTTTATTCAATTCACCTGTAGCGCATGTGTTTGGACTGTGGAGGAAACCCACGCCAACACTGAGAGAACATGCAAACTCCACACAGAAATGACAACTGACCCAGCCGGGACTCAAACCAGTGATCTTCTTGTTGCCAGGCGACAGCGCTAACCACTGAGCCACCGCGCTGCCATGTCATTTAAATTGAATGTAAAATACAAATCCATCATTGGGTTATTCATGTCCATCTTTGACCCCACATTGACTTAATATAACCCAGCAATTTCTTAACAGCTTCATTTGTGTGTGTTCATGGCTTATTCTGATCACTTAAGGTCTAATCTGCTGTATCTGAATTGAGTCACACGTTTCTGTTTGATAGTCTGTCATTTGGTGAATCTCTAAAAAGGTGATCACGTATGCCGTGTTGCTTTTCTCTTAGTTTCTTCTCTGTGGGCTGTGTGGGATGCTGTGTGCACGGAAGAGGACAGGACTTATTGTGAGTACGCACTTCACTATCGTACTGTGCACGTGCATATTCTGCTGTATTGTTCAGTAAATAATCCACTACACAGTTGGTCATGGGGGGCTCAGTGGTAAGCTCTGTAGCCTCACAGCAAGAAGGTCACAGGTCCCGGCTGGGTCAGTTGGCATTTCTGTGTGGAGTTTGCATGTTCTCCCTGTGTTGGCGTGGGTTTCCTCCGGGTGCTCAACTAAAGACATCCTTCAGATATTATATTAATAATGTATAAACAGATTTTGATGGGTTTTCTTTGTCCTCAAATATCTTCTGTGTGTGCTAGTAATTTTTATGCATCTTTTTCAAAACATTTCACTTTAGAGCTAGATAACTGAGCCAAACTAATGTAGAGAGACATAGTTAAGTGTGTAGGAATTACGCGTGATTTTTATTGTTCTGTTTTGATTTTTTTTAAACATAATTTTGTCCAAAATCTGTCAAATTCCACGAGATTTTAAATAAAATGGTTAAATAAATAGCTTTATTTTATATTGCATCACTGAAATCAAGCGTTCCATTTCTGTGTGGAGTTTGCATGTTCTCCCCGTGTTGGCGTGGGTTTCTTCCAGGAACTCTGGTTTCCCTCACAGTCCAAACACATGCGCTATTGGGGAATTGATTAACTAAATTGGCTGTAGTATATGTGTGTGAATGTGAGATTGTATGGGTGTTTCCCACTAGTGGGTTGCAGCTGGAAGGGCATCCGCTGCGTTAAACATATGCTGGGATAACTTGCGGTTCAGGCGACCCCTGATCAGGCCGTACTCGCACTATGTACAGTTGCCTTGAAGCACACTTGTCGCCCCTCCTGCCTCACCCGACTGCCCGCACTCACATTGCATTCGGGCCTGAGCACGCTTATGTCATCGATGATGCGCTGTTCAGTTTAAGAAGCGCTCTCGCTCAGCACGGTGGAGATTTCTTTAGTTATATTGTTTTAGTCGTTTGATATGCAGTGACAGAGTCAAATATTTCGGAGAACAAATCAGCCACTTTTGACGCTCATAAACGATCATAAAGCCCATGTGCTGCAGGAATTAAGAGGTTTGCTGGAGGTGCAGTGAGGGGTTTGCGTCTTTAATAAAATATGAAACTTTGTGTACATTAAACATTCATTCATTCATTAATTTTCTTGTCGGCTTAGTCCCTTTATTAATCCGGGGTCGCCACAGCGGAATGAACCTTCAACTTACCCAGCAAGTTTTTACGCAGCGGATGCCCTTCCAGCTGCAACCCATCTCTGGTAAACATCCACACACACACACTCATACACTACGGACAATTTAACCTACCCAATTCACCTGTACCGCATGTCTTTGGACTGTGGGGGAAACCAGAGCACCCAGGGGAAACCCACGCGAACGCAGGGAGAACATGCAAACTCCACACAAAAACGCCAACTGAGCCAAGGTTCGAACCAGCGACCTTCTTGCTGTGAGGTGAACGTGCTACCCACTGCGCCACTGCGTCGCCTCATTAAACAGTATGAATGATTAATAAACACATATGAAACAGTCTCTTAAAGTCATGTCTCGTCTTAAGCAGTTTCAAGCCCAAGTGAACCGCGCTCAGACACACCTCTTCCAACCGGGCCAAGTGAACCATGTCTGAGCCCAATTCAGAGCACTTACACTTCTCAAACGTAACAGTAACTGTTTTTCTGTAAACATTTCAATGAAAATATCTGTGGATTTATTATTTTTTTGCACTTTTTTTCAACAAAGAAATTTTACCGTAATTTTATGGTTTTTGTTTGGCAGCCGTAGCTGCCAGTCATTTGACCTTTTTTTACGATTTTTTTTTTTACAGAGCAAGTAATTACAATTTATTACTTAAATTTTTCATAATTTTATTTGTACTTAAAAAAACAGGAAAAAACAATGTGCAAATAATATGGCAATTTTATTGTGTAAAACAGGAAAATTGCTGTAACTTGTCATTAATTATATAGTACATGTAATAACAGTCAATTTCGGATATTGTTTGTAATTTTTACGGACTTCTAAATATATAATTTTAAAATAACAGAAAAAAATACTGTATAAATAAAACTGTAATTTCCCTGTATAAAAAACAAAAATGTCAGTAATTTGTCTTTAATGATAAAGTACCTAAAATGAAAGTCAAACGGTTAATTTAGAGAGATTGTTTGTCATTTTACTAAGTTTTGAATATGATTTGAAAAAAAAAAAAAAATTACTGTAAAAATATTGAGATATTTTCTGTAAAATTCATTTTTTTTATAGTGTAACCTGTATATAATGTTGAATATAATGCAAGAAGAAATCTGATAAGGACAAAATTCAAATTTTACCAGTGAAAACAAATAGTCTAATATTGTTGTCAATGACAAATGACAAGCGCATGTCTTAAACATATTAATTCAACGTCAATATTATGAATAGTTGTATTTTGATGTCATCATTTTACTGTGAATTAGCAAACAGGACATATTGAAAGTCCTTAAAATTAATTAAAATTTAGCATTTTAATCAACAGTAGACCTACACATAGGCCTAGTATTATTAGTGTTGTTTTTATGTTTGAGAATTAACAATAATAATAGCCTACTCATAATCTTTATTTTATATTTACAAAATCGTTACAAGATCTTGATTTTAAGCACAAAAAAATCGTGATTCACATTTTTTCCAGAATCATGCAGCCCTGAATGTAAGGAGTTTATTATTATTATTATTATTATTATTATTATTATTATTATTATATACACCACAAAAAATTGGATTTATTACATTGTTTTAAGTTAAGTGGATGTAAACAAATTATTTGGTCTGAATGTAAACAAACAAAAAATAAGTTGACAATTACTCAATTTAATTTGTTTGTTTAAATTCAACCCATAGAAATAGTTTGCAACAACTTTGAAGAAATCATTTATTTCAGTGTAGCACACACACACACACACATGCACACTCCAACACACTCTCAATAAAATCTGCTGCGTAAACTTTATGAATGCTCTCTTTTTTGCATATACAAGTACTTTTAGCATCAGAAAATACACCCTTTACTGTGGTGAGAACCTAGTGTTTCCAACTGTTTAAACATTGATGAAAAACTCCACACCGACGAGGGAAAAACTAAACATTCACTGAGAGTTTGTGATGAAGATGAGCTTCTTTCTTCATGCAAAATAGATTTGAGGATTGAAATTGGATGTAAAGTCAAAATTATTTGCCCTCATGTGATGGTTGGATTTTTATTTCCTTTTTCAAATGTTTTTGCTAATGATGTTTAACAGTGCAAGGAATTTTTTTCACAGTATGTCCCATAATATTTTTTCTTCTGGAAAAAGTCTTATTTGTTTTATTTCGGCTAGAATAAAAGCAGTTCTTGATTTTTTAAAAGCCATTTTAAGGTCAATATTATTAGCCCCCTTAAGCAATGTTAGTTTTGGATTGTCTCCTGAACAAGCCATCATTATACAATAACTTAATTACCCTAACTTTACCCTGATTAACCTAGTTAAGCCTTTAAGTGTCACTTTAAGCTGAATACTAGTCTCTTGAAGAATATCTAGTCAAATATCATGTGCTGTCATCATGGCAAAGATGAAAGAAATCAGTTATTAGAGATGAGTTATTAAAACTAATATGTTTCGAAATGTGTTGAAATTAAGGAAAAAATGCACAGGAGGGCATATAATTCTGACTTTAACTGTATCTGCTTTATATTAAAGGTTTAGTGAAGGCGGATCAAGGTAGGACAACACAAGAGCTTAAAAATCTAATGTAGGTCAGTACTAGTTTGTTTGGGGTGTGAGTACAGTATATAGATGCACATGGCCATGAATGAGAGCGTCTGAATATCCCAGGACACTTCACTGCAGATTGAATTAGTCGCCCCGGTGGAGAGTGTAATTCGCAAATCGATACTGAAGTGGAACTTTAGTCTGAGAGATCTCTCCTGTCCGGCTCTTTTCACATCATTGCTTGTTTTTCCCTTTGATTCCATGTGTTCGGGCTTTTATCTTTGTCCTCAAACACGCTTCCACCGTTTGCCATTTTATCTCTGAGCCTTTCCTGCTGATTGATTTTGTTTCGTGCTCTGCTGTAATGTTATTGTGCGGCTAAAAGGAAAAAGCGTCTGTGTAATGGCTGCGGATTCCTGACAGTATCGTCAGGAGCTACTCAAGAACACTTAGGCATTTGGTCTGTAGAGTCATATTGACTTTTAGCCCCTGCGGAGAGCAAGGTTCAGATGCTTAAACAGCCTACAGAAAGTGCAGAAAGAGCATGTTTCTCTCCCGTGTGCAATATGATACGAGCTGCGTTATGAATGAAATACTAGCATAATAGTAGTGCTTTTGCATAGTGTTTGGTTTTACGGTGTATATTACCGTGATATTTGTACATATGCATTTTTAACGGAAGTGAAAAAATGACTTATGCTGCTTCTTTAAGCTACTTATTTAATATGAGTTGAACCAACACAATTCTTGTGTTTTTTTTTTTGTGAAGGGACAACTTAATTGTTTTATGTTCAATCCACTTTAATTTGTAAAAAACAGTTAGGGTAACTTAATCGAATTGTGTTGGGATGGCATAAGGGCAACACAGGCTCATTTTGAATACATACTACATGGATATGAGCAATAAAACATGAGTAGCAGTGCGATAGGGCTGTAATCAGCACTGGTGGGAGGCGTGCATGGGCTTGAGGCCACAGGCTGAGTGCTGTATTGTCCCACCAGTGATGATATACAGCTATATCGCACTCCTACAAGTGTGATATTGCATTTATACAACAGTTCAACAGCATATTTGTGAATATAATAAATAAAAAATCAAACACAGAGAGTCTAAAAACCCTTTTCAATGAGGAACCACTTTCTTCCGCCATTCATTTACATCTGCAGCTGACGTCAGAACAGCAGAAACTGAAGCTCTTTCACCAACGTCACTTTAAAGCTAGTGTTTGAATGATTCTCTAGCATAATGTCTAAAGTGATGACAAAACAGGTGTTTTTGCTCACATTTTAAGATTATAAGGCGGAACGGCATGAAATGCCATCAGTCTACAGAGATTTCACAGTATTTCTCTGTTGCAATCGGTATCTCAGTTTTGGGGCCACTACAGTTAACATTAAGGGTGCCCCTGTGTGTTACTTATAGTAACATTTTGTGCATGCAATATGTGTTATTACATACTGTTTGTGCTACTGAATACATTTTATGCACATTCATTGTATACACAATATGCATTATTATTAATAATAATGCAATATTACTAATATTATTGCTACGTTTCTGGAGACCGCGGAATACGTCTCGGCGGGTACGTACGGCTGCAGTTTTTGTTTTTGCGAATCCGCGAGAGGCCGCTGTTGCGAGCTTTTTCGCACCTCGGACGCCTCTCTCGCGTGAACCTGCCGGAGGCCGCTGTCCGACTGACCGGATGATTGGTAAATTTTAAATGTACCTAAAAAAAAACAGGAAAAATCACTGTGTAAATAATACGGCCATTTTATTGTATAAAACAGACAAATTGCTGTAATTTGTCATTATTTATATAGTACATAAAATTACAGTCAATCTGTTAAATTACAGATATTGTTTGTCATTTTTATGGATTTTTGAATATAATTTAAAATAACAAAAAAATACTGTATAAATAATACTGTAATTTCCCTATATAAAAAACAAAAATGTCAGTAATTTGTCTTTAATGATAAAGTACCTAAAATGAAAGCCAAACTGTGAATTTAGAGAGATTATTTGTCATTTTACTAAGTTCTACATATAATTTTAAATGACAAAAAATTACTGTAAAAAATGTAGGGATATTTTCTGTAAAATTAGTTTTTTTTTTTACAGTGTAGGCAAAATCCAGGCGGAAATCCCCAAATAACAGTTTAACTGGTTAAAATACAGTAACATAACGCATAACTGTCCTACAGTAAAATATGGTTGATATTACGGTTGATATTACTGTAACAATGCAGTAAATACAGTAAGGAAATACAGTTAAAACTGTAAATACCGTTAACAGCACAGTAAAAAAAGCATTGGCAGTCACATGCTCATAATGCAGTGTGCATTCAATTTAGTGTAAGTGACATTTTTTTTTTTAAAAAAAAACATGATTTAATTTTGTATTTATTATGAAATGGCATAAGCAGGGGATAGTAGATGAGCATACGGCAGCAGTTGCGGCACACTGCCTGTGCTTGTTCATCCAGGATAATGTGTTAATATGCTGCTGTGCTGGACAGTCCGAAGTTCTTGTGTAATTTGAGGTCAGATCTGTCCTGAAGTGTTGAGGTGGCAGTTTTTCTCCGCTGGCAGATAAACTCACTGTCTGGACGGTGGTCTGACCGATTACAAACTCACAGAGCAGCACAATCCATTCTCCGGCACACAAGGGTTTCGTCTTCATCCTCCGTATACAGTATTTCTGCTGTGCCGGACGCTTTCCCGTTAAAATACTTTGACCTTTATGAGCAGGGAAATCCGTCTAATCTGCAAAGAAACACTCTGAAACATTAGCGCTGTCGTTTTCCAAAATCTACTATAGTGATGTTTTAATATTCAGAGAAAATTTGAACAGTTGAAGTGGTTTTAATTTTTATTTATAAAGGTAATCATTCTAATATATAGTATAACTACACTTTATATTTAAAGGGGGGCTATTATGCAAATAATGTTTTAAGCCCATGGTGTGCATTGGTATTGTGAAAACATGCAGCATATGTTACTGTGGTTGGCACTGTGGCCTGGATCAGTTGGCATTTCTGTGTGGAGTTTGCAAAACTAAATTGACCATAGTGAATGAGTGTGTATGGGTGTTTCCCATCCGCTGTGTAAAACATTTGCTAGATAAGTAGTTGACGGATACGTTCATTCCGCTGTGGCGACCCCTGATGAATAAAGGACCTAAGCTGAGGGAAAAGGAATGAATGAATAAATACTCATTCTGGAGTTGCAGCTGATCACAGAGAGTTGGAACAGATCTTTTAATCCCAGTTTCTTCGCAAATCTTGTCCTGTGAACATGTTTATATGTATAACTACGGGGACATGTTAATATTTGGCTGTCAATCAATTTGGAGTGGTTGGAAAACACCTCACTCCTACGTCACGTTTTGGTGGGCCTCGAAATCAATGGGATTTAGACACTAATTTAACGTCAGGAAATTCTATAAAGGAGATTCATTGTGTTTCTATTACTCCGATATGACTGCGGACGCACTATACTACACACAGTTCTGTCTAAACAGCTTGTAAAAGTTAATTATAGCTACCCTAACATTACTAACATGAACAAATACTGTATTGTTCATTGTTTGTTCATGTTAGTAGCTAATATCAACTAATGCGTCCTTACTGTAATAATATATGTTTGTTTTGTCTCTCAGATGATACTGTTTTCGTCCTGCTGCATTTGTGGGTTGATCTGTGGGATCCTGAACTTCCAGTTTGTGCGAGCGCTGGTCAAGCGTCCCGACACCATGCGCTCTCTCCATCTGGCCGTCATGTCTCTGGCGTGTTTGGGCATCAGCAGCTGCACTCTGTCCACATGGCTGACCTGCAGACTGGCCAGCAGCGAACAGCAGCGCATGTTTCTGGAGAGAGAGCATTCGCTGCATCACTCGCATGAAATGGCCGAGAAGGTACGCCTGGAGCCGGTATGTTTGTTCAGTCTGCATGTGTGTGTCTGTCGGTGTCTCTCACACACTTCAGCTTCTCAGCATTCAACCTTTTATTTGTATTAATAAACAGCTACGGTCAAAATTATTCGTCCTTTTTTCTTTTTCAGATATTTCCCAAACTATGTTTAACAGATTCAGGAGTTTTTCACAGTATTTCCTATAATATTTTTTCTTCTGGAGAAAGTTTATTTGTTTTTGTTTTTTCTGCTGGAATGAAAGCAGATTTTATTTGTTTTATAACTATTTTAAGGTCAATATTCCATTAAAGAAAAATTGGGGGAAATAAAGAGGAAGGCTAATAAATCAGGAGAGCTAATAATTCTGACTTCAACTGTATGTTTGTGGAATTAGTGTGACCTATTTGATGCATTTTATTCTAAATAATGAATTCAACACAGGCTCATTCTGAAAACATACCCCTGTGTACATTTCTGGAGATCGCGAATTATTAGCCAGAAGTACGTATGGCTAAATTTTGACTTTAAAACGAACGCTATGGGGCGATATGACGCCGTTCCTTTTCGCGCTTACCAGCTGTCCGCTTTCCTCCATGTGGACGGCTTTCCCGCTGTTACCAGTTCATCCAGTATCCCACCATGTATGTCGGCAGACTTGAGACACAGAGGAGTTGATCACAGCGACGAGGTTTGAGTCTGGCGAAGAATAGTTCCAGAAATCAGGTAAACCAAAAACAGATGCCAAAAAAAATCTAATAAATAAGTAAATAACAGGGTGAGATGATAAAATCTGAAAACTAGGTAAAAATCAGATGTGGGCTTTTCTTTTTCTTGTTTTTCAAAACACTGTGGGTTTGTTTTAGGGAAGGTAGTGGGCGCTGGTCAATCGGTGCTTTTGAAAACACTATCGGTTGGGTTTAGGGAATTGGATGCGTGGGGTTATTGGTCAATTCGTCGGTCAGTCAGTCAGTCAGTCAGTCAGTCAGTCAGTCAGTCAGTCAGTCAGTCAGTCAGTCAGTCGACAAGGGTCTCTGAGAACAGCAGGAGAAAAGGGCCCCCGCAAGAGAAATTGGAGATCTAAAAAGTGTACACAGCGGTCTCTAACTGATTCGCGAAAACAAAAACTGCAAAAAAAATAATAATAATGTGACGTATCCAGAAATGTAAATAGAGGTAGGTTTTCAGAATGAGCCTGGGTTGAATGAATTGATTCATTTAAGTTCATTATAATGTAATGATTGTGATATTTTTAAGCATATGTCATATACTGTATGCCATTTTGTTATTGTAGAGTTGCTATATACTGTAAAAAAATATCTGTAAACAGTTTATGTATTTTGTGTGTTTTTTCCTTTATTTGTGGTTGTGAATTGCATTATGGGATGTTGATCTGTGCTTTTCTGATGTAAAAAATTCAACTATACAGTTTAAAAAAGTGACGTTTATTAACATTTTAGTCTTTGAAATAATATAACGTATAAGAAATATAGAAATTAGTCTGTAAAATAGCAGAATATGTACAATATAGCACTTTAAAATCATTAATGTTCATAAAACTCACCTTTTTATTACTTTTCAAGATTAAAAGTTGTTGGAAGAAAGATCAAGGTTCCATAATGCATTTCAAAACATAAATAAACAGGAAAAAATTAAAACATGAATCACAAAATACAGTGAATGTGTCATTACAGTCATCAGATTGGATGTTTTGGTATCTGGTTTCTTTAACTACAGATTAAAAATGTAAATTTTGACCAGTACGTTGGTTTTTACCACATTTTCAAGAGTCTTTGCGTCTAGTTTTTACTGTCTTCTGTTCCTTTGTGCATTATTGATGTTATAATCATGTCACATTTGGAGAGTGTCGCCAAGTTAAAAGCTAACAAAACCCTACTATTCTCTCACACACATTTACGGGTTTTTATTTCAACAAATCTTAACAGGTTTGTCCACTCTAAAAAAACAACAACAAAAAAAATTAATTAACATTTACTGAAAGTCTTGTGGCAGTATGGTGCCTCAGTGGTTAGCACTGTGGCCTCACAGCAAGAAGGTTGCTGGTCGAGCCTTGGCTGGGTCAGTTAGCATTTCTGTGTGGAGTTTGCATGCACTCCCTGCGTTTGTGTTGGTTTCCTCCAGGTGCTCCGGTTTCCCCCACAGTCCAAACACATGCGCTATAGGGGAATTGGTGAAGCTAAATTGTCCGTAGTGTATGAGTGTGAATGAGTGTGTGTGGGTGTTTCCCAGAGTTGGGTTGCAGCTGGAAGGGCATGCGCTGCGTAAAACATATGCTGGATAAGTTGGCGGTTTATTCCACTGTGGCAACCGCAGATTAATAAAGGGACTAAGCCGACAAGAATGAATGAATTAATTAATTAATTTTCCTTCAGCTTAGTCCCTTATTTATGCGGGGTCTCCACAGCAGAATGAATCGCAAGCTATTGGAGAATATGTTTCCGTAGCGGATGCCCTTCCAGCTCAAGTACTGGGAAACACCCATACACTCTTCAACTGACCTATAGCACATGTGTTTGGACTGTGGGGGAAACCGGACCCAGGACAAAACCCACGCCAACACGGAGAGAACATGCAAACTCCACACAGAAATGCCAACTGACCCAGCCGGGGCTTGAACAAGTGACCTTCTTGCTGTGAGGTGACAGCGCTAACCACTAAGCCACTGTGTCGCCCAATTTAAATACATTAAATAAAATATAAACAAACAAACAACAAACAGTGCAAGTATATATTGTCCTGCACTGTTTACTCTACAGGCACACAGAATTTGGAAAATGTCCTATATTATATAATTCTCTATAAATGTCAGCTTCTCTCTCCTGTCGGTTTAAGTGTGTGTGTGTGTGTGTGTGTGTTTGCACCTCAAACTCTGCCGTGTGTTTGTCTGTTTTGCAGGAGGTCTTGGACAACACCAGCAACGGCATCTCTCAAATCTCCTACAGTGGACGCAGCGCCTCTCCGTGACAGATCTCCACCCACTCGCTCCACACCGCACACTCCTCACAGCTGATTGGCTGAGTGCAGCTGACAGCGCTTCACTCTGATTGGCTCAGTCTGACTGACAGCGCTTCACTCTGATTGGCTCTGTCTGACTGACAGCGCTTCACTCTGATTGGCTGAGTCCAGCTGACAGATGACATTCTCCAGTCAGTGTCCATTTACCTGACGACCTCAGTGAAGGTCAGAACTGAAGACCTTGACAACCAGCACTCGGAAATCTGACATCCGAGTCCGAAAACAAGCATGCAAAAATCTCTTCTCTCTCTCTTCTCTCTCCGACTCTCTTCATATTAGGTTTTTATTCACTCACAAAATGACTTCTGCTGCTTGTTGAATCTACTTCTTTAACCCTGTGCTGCTAGAGACGCTTGCTGAGGTGATTTTGAGTCTTAATTTGGCCACAACTTTCTCTGTGTTTCAGCAAATAGGGTGATTTTTGCTGACAAATCTTATTTAGACACATGTTTTGGGGAAAATGCTTTGAAAATTAAAACAGAATTGAGCAATACACTGTGTTGACTACCCTTTTGTTATGTTGGGGCTGTTTGTGCCCTATTGACTTCCATTATAATGACAGTTTTTGATTGACAGCATATAATCAGGCAATTCATGCAGAGCTCTCATCTGGGCAGCAGCGCTGGACCGATAGTGTGTGTGTGGTCACGTGATGTGCGTTTTCAGCGTTTTGGTGTGGACGGAGAGCTGTTCAGAAACGCTAGGTGAAACGCTAGTGTGTACGCGGATCGTTTTCACTCTAAAACGCCGTTTTAAAACTAAAACGCACTAGTGTAAACCTCTGTTTTCCTTTTCATCTGACCTTTTTTCATTCAGGAGCCATCTGGGACACCTCCATCAACCACAGACCTTTTGACCCCATGCATGTTGTGACATCTTGGTCATTGTGAAAACAAACTGAAAAGTATAAAGACATGATTGGCCGCCTTAAAATTTAGCGATTTAAAGCAAATGTATTTAAATGTTACCTTGTTATTAGCAGTTGCTAAAACTTGGACAGGCGACAATACTTTTGTCAGATAGTGTAGTGTGTGTGTGAATAATGCCTAGTTCACACTAGAGGATTTTAAGCCTGATTTGAGCCCGATTTGGAAGTTAACGAGCTCGCCGACAGATCGGGCTGTGATCGGGAAAGAAATCTGCGGGTGCTCGGCGCTCGCCGCTCTTTATGTGTGAACTACTAAACAACGCATCAACGAGGCTCGCTGACGCTTCGCCGACACCTCGCAGACGGAAATCCTACATTCAGCATGCTAAATATTCCAGAGCAGTCGGCCGACTCAACCCCACGTGTGGTCAGATGTAGTGACGAGCTGCAGCCAATGAGAGAGCAGATCAGCATGCCTGTGTGTTCAGGAGCTCAGCAGAAATGTCTGTGATTGGTCAGAATGGGCATCAGTGCACTCGCTTCATTCTGCGTTAGCACAGACATGAGAGTAGACTATATTAACTGTGGAACTAGAATTCTGTAACTATTAGAAATACCATACTGCTCATTCTGACCGTTCTCACATAAAACGCCATACTGTCACAACATATTTTAATATGAGATATTAAAATTAAGCTTTGAATGTCTGGCATCATATTTAATGACACCATTACCCTAAAAATATCATCTTTTTTTGGCAATACAGCCTATAAATATGTAGTTAAGATACTGGAACACGCAAAGGTCTTGGCTTTCATTTTCACTTTTAAACAGGAGCTATTTAACAGCACAGAATCTGCTGTTTTGAAAGATATCTGAAGTAAATTGATGTTTTTGCCATCAGAAAGTTTTGTTTATGTTAGCAGGAAGTTACTTGGCAAGAAAATGCACACATATTTAAAGTCACAGTGAAAAGTATCAGACATGCATGCAGTCATTTTGACCAATTTGGTAATTTCAGGCAGAAATGCTCAGTTCTTTACTGTTTTGTAATAAAAAAAATAACAATGTCAGAAAGAAATACACTGATAGTTAGAAAACGGCAGGGTGTTATAAATATGTCAGTTTTATTTCAAAGAGTTATAAAATTACAAAAATTAAAAACTTTCTGTGTATCTATCCACTGGAACCTGCAGATGAGTGATTAATCCGCTGATAAATCAGCTGATTTGACGATGTTTTTAAATGCTTTCTCCAAAGCTTGAAACGCTGTCAGTGATGTAATCAGCACAAAAGCAGCCAATAGTGTTGAGCTTTTTTCTGACGACTCCTCCCTCAAATTTTCATTGGCTGTGGTTTGGTAGCTTGAATGAGCTGATGGGGAATGAGATGTTGTCAGATCATGTAGTGTGTGACCCCCCTCTTGTGGATCGTTCACGGAGTGTTGAGTAGTGTGAACACCACAGAGATTAAAAGACACAAAGTCAAGTCATGTAGTGTGAACGGCACAGCGATCTGATGATGTTTAAAATCCTGTAGTGTGAACTAGGCTTAAGAGAGACCTTTGTGCATTCATCTTGACATGTCTGAGAAAATCTAAATAATCAGCTCAGCTTTCAGAACACAGTAAACACAGTAATTTCTGCACACACACACACACTATAATCTGCTGTTTTACTCCACATATAAAATCCAGACACTTGTCTATGCAGGCCTATCTAAAGGGTTAATGCTTCAAACTGATGATCGACAGTAAAAATGACACATTTTAACTCTTCCCAACAAGGAAAACCACCAACAATCAAGGAATGCATAATTATAAGCTGTCATGCCTTTGCATTATAATGGAGATTAATGGGGCAAAAACAGCCCCCAACATAATGAAAGGGGAGTCAATTTGAACAGAACACAAGAGTTAAAATGAGTTGAAACAACACAGATCTTATGTTTTTTAGGGATAACTCAATTGTTCAATGTTTATTGTTCGATTCACTTAAATTTGTAAAAACGATTAAGTTAAACTCAATAGATTTGTGTTGGGACAGCATGAATGAATTGTGTGGAACCCTGCATTTTTACAGTGCTGGGTGGGATCAGATACAAAGTAGTGGATAGATATAAAGGGTGTTTATTGAATTATTTGATTGGTACGGCAAAAACTGCACTTTGGAAGTGAATTGGTTCAGTTGATGCAGAGTCAATGTTATATGTTTGGTAAAAGGAAGGATAAAATATTAGAAATTAGTGAATAATCTTGAATTATTTCTTTTTAGTTGAATTTTAGAATAGAAAATGTTGTTTTTAAATTCTGTTTGAAATGAAGAGATTCTGGACACGATGTAAAAACAAAGCTTTGTTCAACCTTTCCCTTTCTCTCTCTCTCTCTCTCTCTCTCTCTCTCTCTCTCTCTCTCTCTCTCTCTCTTTCTCTCTCTCTCCCTGTATCTACCTAAAGGGAATGTTCAATCTGAAATTGTAATCCTGATATTGTATGGTAAACTGAATGCTTTTAT